GCCTTATGTCTGACTACATTTCTGATGCCTGAGGAAAAAATCTAGATCTTCCTCATTATTAACTCTGTTATGTGGGGAAATACTTATCATTTTTCTCAATAAAATTTTTCTCAATAAAATATCATTTTTCTCTAATAAAAGTATTTGAGGCATATGCCTCAAATACTTTTATTAGGTCAAATACATTTGGAGCACTGTCAAGTATATAGCAAACTTTAAATAAATGTAAGCATTATCATTATTGTATTATAACTTTTTATCTGTTCAGTTTCTCCTTTTCCTTTTTTTTTTTTTTTTGTTCCAAATAGTTTATCATAGTTTTGCAAGGCAGCCTCATAGAAAGGGTAATATTCCTTTCCAAATTGGAGCATCCCATACAAAATATATTTGTATAATAGGAATCAAATGAATATTTTGAAAATTTGGAAACTTCATTGGGAAAAATGTTTTATAAATTACATCAAAATTTTAGAGCAAAATAATTACATTTTTGTACTGAAAATAGATGTATCATTATATTGTCTCCAGACCCTAACATATGAATTGCATTTGTCTATACCTGTCCTTTATGAAAATATAGACTTTTAAAATGTGAATAAGTTATTTAGACTTCATATTGGATGAATTTTGAGGAGTTTGTTCCAGAAAGGTACTATATGCAATGATCACATCAATAAAATGTATGGGATCACAAATGTAAATTGTATTAAATATTAAAAAAAACAGAATCTTTTAAGTTCAGGTGGTGCAGTGTTTTAAGTACTGAAGTGAAAATTTGAAGATAATCCCTTACATCTGTTTTAAATTGTCTTACTAGAAGAAAAATTTGATGTTAAAACTCTATTCCTTAAGTAGGATATAGCATAATCCCATCTCTATTTTAAAAGTATAGGGAGTGTGACCTTAATTTTCCTTTCTTCCCTTTCCCTACCTTTCTTGTGTTTCTCCTCCCCTCGGTAGGGAGTTACGTTTATTATATTCCTTTTTTATTCATGTCGTAATTCTGTTTCAGTTCTAACTAACTTAACATTCCCTTTGCATCACAGGCAACTGCTGTGATGTATTTGATTTGTATTCTTAATATCGTGATATACCCTGGTGAACTATGCAGTGATATTTTGAGAAGGAGTTGATTGTTACAATTTAAAAATATTGTGCTGCCACTATACACTCAGGATGTTCTGGTTCATTCCTTCATGTGACAGTGTGTGTAGGGTACCTGTTGGACCTAACCGCTGCATAGTTGTCGGTGTCACTCCCGGCCGGCAGGAAGGACACACAACAAAGTCTGGCAGTGGACAACCTTTTCTTTTATTTTCCTTCTCCGTACAGCCTGCCCCGGGAATCCTCCCGGCCGAAGCCTCTGTTGGTCCGCTCCCCGCGGCTCCTTGCGTGCTTCTCCCTACAGTCTGTCCCGAAGCCTCTACTGGTCCGCTCTCCGCGGCTCCTTGCGTGCTTCTTCCTACAGTCTGTCCCGAAGCCTCTACTGGTCCGCTCTCCGCGGCTCCTTGCGTGCTTCTTCTGCTTCTTCTGCTTCTTTTTTCGTGGCGGGAGAGGCACTCACTTTTATAGGGTTACAGTGGCCAATCAGTTCAAAGCGCGCGATGCGGGCTGATTGGCTAACATCAGTTGTTGCTAGGCAGACTATCTTACAGGGCGGGTTGTGAAGCAGGAGATCTTACAGGGCGGGTTGTTTACCAAGCAGGAAGCAGGAGATCTTACAGGGCGGGTTGTTTACCAAGCAGGAAGCAGGAGATCTTACAGGGCGGGTTGTTTACCAAGCAGGAAGCAGGAGATAAGCGCCATCTTAGCACACTCGATGGGAGGGGTAATCTAGCTCAGGCTTTGCTCTTTCCTACAGGCCTCACGTCCGCCAAGTAAGGCGACCGGGCTCGGCCGCGGCTCCCAACACATAGTGATTCAGGAAGTGTATCCCATATCGAGCTCACATGATGATCACACACATCACTTATTACTCACTGTGAATGAACTCTACGATACTTTAAAAAAAAATGTTCTCTTACCTGTTCTCCTGAAGATTTACTTTTGACCTAGCCAGTTCCACTTGTTGGTTTGACTGAGAACAATTAGATGGCATAACAGATGTCTGCCCCAGCTCGTGTTACCTGCACCCCAATTTTGCCCCGTAATTTCTGCAGGTACCCTCTGACTGACCTTCCTTCTGCCCTTTTTGTTCCCACTCAGTGATTGCTCCTCACACAGAGGAATCAATGATTTTTTTGAAAACATAAACCATGTTCAAAACTCTCTTACTGAAAGTCTTTCCCCACATTGGCTCACGTGCCCTTGATCAGTCATATCCCGGCTTACATCTAACTTCATCTTGTCCTTCCTTTCCACTTTTCAGCCACTGAACTCACTTTTTATGTCTCCAGTTGAGCTTTTGCTCTGTTTCCCTTACCTGGGGTCATCAGTCTTCGCAAGGCTCCTGGCTCCTTTAGTTCCTAGCACTCCTGTGTTTACTGTTTCTATGAAATATTTATCTAAGTTAACCTCACCCAACTTACAACTCTCTGCCGTGAATGTATATACTGTATTGAATAGATCCTGTCTTCTTCAATGGGTTTACCCTTTCCCCCTTTAGCATAGGCTATATGTAGGCAGGGACTTGACTGTTTCAGTACTGGCTGCCTAATAAAATTCCTGGCAAACACGATAATTAACACATATTTGTATAATCAGAGAGTATATTTTTGAATAAAGTAAATGAACACACATATAAACAAATGGACATATATTCTTTGTAGTTACATATGTGTTGACAACTAACAAGAAGCATTTGTTATTTTTATATTAGTTAATGTTTGATTTCATTATTTAGTAGTAATACAGAAATTCCCAACAAAAATGGTCAATTTATCTCTCTGGAAATAAGCTGTAAGATATCAATCAAAAGAAATCCTCTCTGTAATTTATTTATTTTTTTTTTTTAGCCCTTGTGTTCTAAGACAGTGGTTTAAGTGGGATAATATTGTAATGATGTTGTCTTGGTGATTTGGTTTATATTTGGATGTATTTCTCTGGAGTAATTTCTGTGTAAAGTCTACTTTCATTTACTAATCCCACAATCAAAGCAGAATTTTTGGATAAAGTAGGTTGAAGTTTCCTGGGTATTAGAAGTTTCCATAGAGCCATACTTTATTAATTGGTGCGGGGGTGTTAGATATAAAGTACACATGTAGTGTTACACTTACTAAATTTGCAGATAATTGTGTAACACTTTACTATTGTAGTTCCTTCTGTTGATGCAGAGGTTCAATCTGACAATATTTAAAGTTGCTTCAAATGAAAGATACAATTTTCTGTGAATTGCTGATGTCAAGACCTTATTCATAAGGTGTGAATGTTGATTTCTAGTGGAGTATGAAAGAGTGTGAGCATGTCAGTTGGGGGTAGAAAAAGTTCAGAAATAGCCAGTCTTGCATTAGAATCTGCACTGATACTTTGGTATTAAATTAGAAGTTCTTTAGTGTCTCTAACTTTGCTCATTTACAGAATGGGCACAGACTTGGTATTCAGGACTGTGTTGCAAGTTCTGCAAAATGGTGTATGTCCAGTGTGGCATGTCAGTGCCAGTACTGGGTAATCATGAGTTCAGGGCTGTTCTGCTGTGTTTCATCAGAATTATAACTTTACAAATACAAAATCTGCAGACAATATAAGAACATAAAGTACATGGTATTTAATACTATAAGCAGTGCTTGATTGTTGTAAATCATGAGTATCAACAATAATAACACTATTGATAATAGCAAATATTTATTGAATGTTTACCATGTTTCAGGTACTGCCTTAAGTATCTTGCATGTAAGAACTCATCTTTATCAAGCCAATGAAATGCTAAATATTTCCTCATTTTACAGATAAATAAACTAAGGTATGAAAGATTTAAATTACAGGAATACAGGCAATTCTGAATCTTAAAGATTTTATACTTTTTAAAAATGGATCAAAAACTATTACCTAAAAACCCTTCATTCTTCCGGTAAAGTCAGTAACCACCCAAGTAAATCTAAGTACATAATACTCACATTCACCTTCTTGGTGGGGGACTGTGTCAGTGTTAGGGTTCAACACTCCATCTTTTGTGGGCAGGAAAGGAGATAAGTAGGCAATTTGGAGGCCTTTGGTCTACTTGAAATGTCTGTCTTTTGTATGGGTATTAGCTGATGCTATGGCATTTTAATATTGAGAAATCATGAATATTTGGAGAAAAATACAGGGCCCACATGAATTACATAGTTTTCCATATGAGTACATATGCTGACAGAGTTTCCTTCAAATGACTCATTAGTAGGAAGGTTATAAAAGAACACTGTGGGCTGGGGATTTAGCTCAGCAGCATAAGCACCTGCCTGGCAAGCATGATGTTGTGAGTTTGATCCCTGGTCCAAACAAAACAAAACCAAAAAAACAACAAAAAATACATTGTATCTATGTAGACCATACATGTTTAACTGTTTTAAGAAGCATAATGTTTTAATGAGAAGGCTCTTTATAGCTTTGATCTATGTTTTTGCGTTTTATCTCCAGATCTCTGGCCTTTATTAGTTTTTTCATACTTGAATGGAATCTTTATATTAAGACAGTTTCTTGCAATTTTTAGTCCAGTAAATATACAATAATTTCAGACCATAAAGACCCCTATGGAATCTTGAAACAGCTTGAAGTCTTTGTAGGTGATATTAAGATAACATTGTTCTTGGCCTTATGATAAACTGTGTGTGTGTGTGTGTGTGTGTGTGTGTGTGTATCAGCTTTGAGACATAATAGTTGCTTTAATTATTCTTAGGCTTTGACTATATTTCATCTCCCAGTTTAATGAAATGTTAGTGTATAAAGGAAATAAATTTCCCTTCATAAAAATGTTTTAGGAAAGCTTTCTCTCTCAGTGGTACTTCTGATGTCCTGATATTTTGTCGTGGATAATTGGACTGACACTCAGCCTGAGTACTTTTTCTATTTTTTCTTCTTGCCAGCATGGGGTAACCTCGGAAATGTTCTGAAGAGTCAGAGCAAAATTTCTGAAGCTGAAAGCGCCTATAGAAATGCTTTGTACTACCGCAGCAACATGGCTGACATGCTTTACAATTTGTGAGTATGCCTTGCTTTCTCTTGTTTGGTTCACATTTGAAACCTGTGGTGAAAGGGAGTATTGATTTAACTGCTGGAAATGAAGGGGATGCTAGCCGAGTTTTTTTCTGAAATAGACTTTTCATTAACCATGCCTCTGAGACTAGTGGGTGTATTTCTTTGTTTGGGCCCACATCATCTGTATTCATGTGTATTGATGTATCATGACAGGGTGTTTTTGAGGTAATGTACCATGTTATCACATAAAAGCTGGTTATATGGTTTTTGGTTTTTACAAAGTGTGTTTCACTACTAGTTAGTTGAATATTAAGGTTCATAAAATAAAATTCTATGTATGATATTTTTATAATTGATACTTTGTTGTTAATATTATTAAATTTTGTTCTCAGTAAAAAGTGCCTATGTCGAAATATATAAACAATATGTGCTCAGACAGGAGAGTTAATTATTAATATCATGGTATTGATGTTGTGTTTCTTTTTTTTTTTCTCTTTTCTATCCTTCTCTGCTTTCCTCTTGAAAGCTACTGATGATTATCATTAAAGTTTGAATAGTAGAATAATTGACAATATGCATGTGCATTGAGTTAGAAAAATTCCTAGGGTTAAAGTTGATTTTATTCTTTCAATGGAAAGTGCTAGAATGTATTGTAGGGTTGCAGTTGTTATGTGCAAGCTAAATTCAAGTCCTTTTTTTCATATTTAGGAGAATGTTGTTTGTATATAAATAGAAGTCTTGTTTTAAACTTGCATAAATGCACAAGAATTTGTTAACCTTCCTATTTTAAGAATTTTTGGAGTTCGCTGTATACAGAAACAGTTAGATACAAATTTGCCTATATTTTGGGAATTCGTGATTCTGGACACTGAGTTTGCTCTGTTCATTGTGTGATTCTGCCCATAGTAATAGGAAGATGACTCCTACCTTTATGCGTGTAATATCCAACCTTCTCTCAACTTCGGATGAAAAAGAACATTTCATCCTTATTTTGGTGTCTCTTTCTGTCCTGGAAAGAGTTCCCTCCTCATCCTTTTGGTTCCATGTATGTTTTCTTGGATGAAACCCTGGGAAATATACAGAGAACCATCAGATATTTCTACCGATAGTTCCTTCAGAGGTGGAATGCAACAGAGAAAGACCAGGTTCTTATGGGAAGGTGACCAGTTCACAGGCTAAGTACAGTATCTATTATTTGTGTTTAGTGAGTGCTGTATAATATTGACTGTATCAAAAATGCAGACTCCAATTTTAATATATATTTATGTTCTGGCTACCTGAGTTTTTTATACTGGATACATATGTAGATTTTTTTTTAATACAAAACGTAATGACTAAAAATATACAGGAAAAAGTTAAGGTGTTTCAGAGAAAGGAGACAAGATGAGCTCAGTTTAACTTCCTGTTCATAACCCTACTGCCTTGTTAACCTCCTAGATTTTCTCAGTGGGATCTCACACCTTGGAACCTCACTCTAGTAGCTGTTGGTGTGAGTTAGGTTAGCAGAAGTGTTTTTGTGTTGTCTTGCGCACAGTGTTTAATTGTTCCTGGGTTACCCAGAATTCCTGCACATGGGTCCCACCTCTCCACCATTCACTGTCCTTCACTGCCTTACTGCTGTGTTTCATGCTTACCATTGATAGTACTATCCTCTTTCTTAAAGTGATTTGAATTTATACTTTTTCTTTATGAGAATGAAGATATATAGATTATTCTATAAACACTAATGTTCTTTTCTTCTAAATAAACATTGTTATTATAATTGGCTGATAGTATTTTCATTCCATGAAAAAGAACCATAGAAGTTTAATACATTACACACATTTCAGGAATATTGTAACAATTAGAAATTAATTTATTTTTTGTGTATTCATAGTTTTGTATATATTGATAGTTTTGCAATATGGGGTATCCATTTTTCTTCTGGTGTTCATTCTCCTGCATTTTAGGAGGAAATAGTAAGTTGAGCAGTCAGCAGCTCTTTGGTGAATTTGTTTTTCTGTCTTATTCATAGTGTTTTAAAAGTGAACTGTCTCTTGCTGGCATAAATTTTTGGGAAGAGGTTCAAAGGAAAAGAAAGTGTTTATCCAGGCTTAATTTTTTTACTCAGATCGTAGGCAGTTCCTCTTCACATGTAATTTAAAATCTTTATCTTATAATTTTATGTGTGAATGCTTACGTAAACTGTGGGAAAATAGGAATAAAGTTGTCAAAGAATAAAACAGACAAGATAACTTTGTATAACCCATAATATCATTCATAAGTTTGGTATCATGTGTTCCTAGAAGCAAAGATCTTGTTTTTATTTATTTACATAAGCAGGAAAAAACATTTTATTATGAACCACTTGCAAACTATTAAGCCAACAAACAAATTTCTTTTCATACACTATTTATATTACCTACTTAGTTTTCTCTGTTGTACTTAGATTACTCTTTGTGTCAACTCCTAAAAAGAAGGGAATTTGGTTTGCTCTTTCTAGTAAACTTAACCTGATAGTAGACCTTTGTGCAGCAGAAGACATTACTCTTCTTTCCTGTTATCAGTTATAGTTAACTCTCCTACAATTATGATGTAGGGCTAGGGATATAACTCAGTGGCACAGCTCCTGCCTGGCAAGCATGAGATTGTGAGTTCGATTTCTAGTACATATATATATATATATATATATATATATATATATATATATATATATGGATGCCTAATGTATCTTTTTTATTAATTATGGAAACTAATATATCTGTTTTATTAATTAGCATAAACACCAACATTAAATGAATTTATGTGGTTTTGGTAATCTTAAGTTCTTATAGGTCCTTCACTTTGAATCAGTAAGTAACCTAGGATACTTAAAACACATTTAATGTTAGTTGCTTTGTAAATTATTAGAAAATTTTATATTCTAATAGAGCTTCCTATTAGAAAAATAGTGTGGCGGTATACATCATTACTTAACTTTAAAATAAAATAGTAATTACTAATGTAAGGTACTGAAACACTAGCCAGGCACAGGATAATTCTAAGTAGAAATAATCTTAACTCCATTTATATATATATATATATATATATATATATATATATGACCTCCACTGTTAAATAGTGCATCTGAATATGGAAGAAAAAAATGAATGACTTGGAAAAATATTTTGTAAGCAATAGTATGAGTGATGTGGACTTACATCCAAAGTTTAATGAACATTGCCTTAAGTGATTATAAAAATAAGAAGACTATATTTTTTAGGAATGCTATCAAGCCATATTTGAGAGTTACATATAAGTAGTTTTATTTCCAGCTTATATAATGTTGGAATCATTTCAGGGTTTTCTTTCTTTGGTGGCAGTTGCTTGAATTTCTATATGCCTAATACTCTTCTTAGTTCTTTAAACATATTATCACAGTTGGCCTTCAAATGAAATCTACAAAATGAGGAAGATGAGACTCAGAGGTAATTTGGCTAGTGTTTTAAAAGTAGTAAGTAGAGGAGTTATTTTTGAATCTATAATGTTCTAACTATATCTTTCCAACAATTTTACTTTTGTTCAAATTGGCAGAGTGAAGAAGAAAAAAACCCTCCGTTATATACATTTCAAATCTGAAAAACCTATTTATTCAAATCACTTGTTCATTAGAAAAACAAATGTTTGGTATTAAATCTCCTATAGTAATGATAGTTGATTTGGAAGAGATACTGAATTTATTAAACTCATGATGTATAATATTAGATTGTTGGTGGGATTGTACACCTGTGCTGAGTAAATTTATGAAAGAAACCACTTTAAATTTCCTAATTCAGTTAATTATGACATTACAGTGTCTTTTTAATCCATGTTGTCAGATAGTAGTCATGTAATATGTAACATAAAAATACTTAATGCTATTCTTAAAGCAATAGATGTCACGCATTTATTGCATAGCTGATACTTAGCCTTTTATTTGTATATTTACTCATATCTAATGTTTCACAAGAGAAGTTAAGAGTAGATTTTACAGATCTGTGTTCTGATGCTGGTTTTCAAGTGTAATAAATTTTCAAAGATAAAAACTTACCTTTGAGCCACTGCTGAGTGATTTTCACTGTCAAATTTTATAAATGTATAGTTGACCTTAAACCTTTTAACTGTGCTACTCAGCACCCTTTTGAAATATAAATTGATTTTTTTGTGAAAAAATATTTGATGTCCTTTCATTGTTGTTATAGACTGGTCTCACTCGGTTCCAAATGATTTTAAACAGGTACTATAATTCAATAGAATATTGAGTATTTTATTAGACGTTAGATTTCAGAATGTAGATGTAAATTTTCATGTATTATAGCCAATTCTTGATTTTTTCACAAAATGGAAAGATTATGTCTATGAAGACAAGAAATTTTATCACCATAATTTAGTCATCCTTTCTGTTTTATGTTATGTGAATCTCAAATTTTCCAATATGAGAAGCTAGAAAATGAAAAAGAAAATAAATACATTTAAGGAAAAAAAACAAAATGAATTAGAATTTGGAAAAACAATAAACAGAGTATATGATGATGAAAACTCATTTTCTGTAAGATCAGACATTATTTGTGTTGGTAATGTAGGACAGAATGGAAAAATCTCAAATACACACCACTGAACATGAGAAGGGTTACAGCAGGGTATATAGAAGCCTAAAAAATAAAACATTAATAATTATGGAAATCATAGTAACAGAAATGTTTCTCTGGGATACGATAAGTGAACAATCTTGGCTCAAGAAATAATAGAAAATTTCAATAAAATACCTTGGGAAAATTTAAAGCTGTATTAAAGAATTTTCTCAACAAGGAACCAAGCCAGCATGTTTCACAAATGACTTCTGTCAAATCTTCTTTGAAGTGATAATTTATCCACTAATTGCACTTCTCACTTTGTTTTATGCAGCTAGGTTAAAGTGGTCGCAAAACAGCTGCCTAACTTTAAAATACACACATAGAAAAGTACAACAAACTTCAAACAAAAAACAACAAGCAAAAACAAAAAAG